ACCTTCCGTACCGTTTACAACTTCCGGCTCGTCTCTCTTCGTCATGGCCTCCGGCCTTGACGACGAGTCAAACAGGAGACTGATCCTGCGTTTTATGCTGCCTCCTCCGCTGTAGTCCTCCTTCGGTGCTCCGTCGTCACCCTCTCTGTTTGGCGGCTCGGACGTCGTGAGGCTCGGCTCCGGATCCGAGGGCTCTGGTTTGTTTGCGTCCTCCGTGTTGCCGGTTGTGGAGATGGTGGCAGTGGGCTGGGGGGGCAGAGACAGGCTGGCCGACTCAAACCTCGAGGTGAGCTCCATGGACAGGCGCTTCCTGCTGCTGCCCCGTCGATTCGCTCGGCTGTCCGCAGAAGAAACGTCGCTTGCTGCTTCTTCGAGACTTTGGATGACGGAAGCCTGAGCCTCGTCTTCTTTCTTTTTTCTGTCTGTCTCTGCTGAGTTTACAACGTCGGCGGATGCTTTGTGGTTTGCTTGGGTGACATCATCTCTCCGGGTTGGCTCGGACTCGGGTGTCTCTTTGGGTGGAGCGGTTTGTGTGACTGGATCAGATTTTCCTACACCAGAATCCGGAGTATCCTCTCCATGTGGGCTTGCTTTGTTTTCCCTGGTTGTTTTTGGCAGATCTTTGGTGAGCCCACCTACAGGGCTGGGTTTGGAATCCGAGGTGGTGGTTTGTTGAGGGGGTTTCCGAGCCGGGGTGGTCACGGTCGTTTTGGGGACGCTCGCGGCTTTAGATATTTCTGTCTGCTGTGTTGTCGTCTTTGAGGTTACACGAGCCGTCTTTGGGGCGTTGATGGAGCGAATGCTGGTGTTCTTCTGCAGGGAGAAGGGCTTGGGGGTGAGCCGAGGTTTGGGGGCCAGAGCTGGCTTGGGGACAGAGGTGCCGCCAGTCTGGGACACCTCGACGGAGCTCTCCATGACTGAGTCGCTGAAAGAGGGGAGGAGAGGAAGTGTTTACATACAGCGAGTTGCATATTTACATTGAAAAAACATTGTCGCTTTCAGCCCACACACGGCCATGTTTTTTACAAAGAAGACTGAATGAGTCCGGTCTGTCGAGAGCAAACCAGTGAGGACGTGCTATGGAATCGTTTGAACGTCACTTTCAACGCTGCAACACAAACTAAATTCATTGGAATAGATGCAAGAAAATACCTCAAAACCTGAGACAAAACAAGGATACTCTTTATTCTGAGCTCGTATTGTAGGTTGGATATCTAACTATTCAGACTTTGAGGTGGCCTAGTTTGCACTCTTATCTAGACTCATAAACTAAATCTGACCACAGTCTTGATATTACAAGCTGCGTTACTCATTTACCACACTGCTGCTGATGGCCAGACAAAGTACAGTAAGTATGGAGACACACAGGAAGAGAAGACACAAACAGTTCTACATTTGCATTCTTCGCTCCATGATTCTTTGGCAGAAACTGGGAGACACTATGGAAGAGACTATAGGAAACCTCTCCCCTCTACAAGGAAACTGAACAACACACTATCCACTCTGCAGTGTGAATCCTACACGCACCAATGAAGAACAGAATATTACAACAAAGAAGTGAGATTAAAAGTCTCATGTGTGGACATGAAAAGACTGATCTGCTGCATGCTTCTGATCACACAAATAGGTGAATCTGAAATGAAAAGTATAACGCTGGCCAACAGCCAACCACAATAAGTGCCATTAACCTTAAAACAAACATCTTGCTTGATTGCACTTGCAAAAGTTTCTTTAACTTACGTCTTAAAATGTCACCAAACACCGTCGGCACAGTTGAAAGGAAGGCTCACTCCCTCTACCTCCACAGACACTTACCAATCACACTGAACAAAACACCAGAAACTATGAAAAGTCTTCCTGCCTGGATCTTCTTTTATTTCCTCCTCAGCAACAACAAAACTGCTTCCGACCGCAGTAAAGCATTTCTTTGGTCAGTTTCTTCCTCATGCCAAAGACCAGACCTGTCGAACTGTTGTGTCGCAAGTGACTAACAAAGGGTCCTCCTGTTGTGGATCTTTGATAACTTCATGACTTCAAAGAGTGCAAAAAGAAAGTAAGCAAGCTGTCGTCATGTGATGACTACTACTCAGATCTCTTCAACACAAGTTGATAATGTAAATTTATAGGCTGTGAATTTGTCACTTTTAAACCCCACTTAACATGAGAAGATTTCAAACAGGCGGGTGGGAGCCATGTTGTCAGAGACTGACTCAAGGCCCGATAAGTCATCATCAGACATGATCAATACGGTCTGAAGAACACGATCCCACAAGATCTCCACTTGAACTGTAACCACTGACTAATGAAGAAGCTTCTCAGTATACCGTCACATGAGCGAAAAAGAGAGTTCACACATACACACACCGTGTGAAAAGAAAAGATAACAGTAGTGTTTCCAATTTTGTTATGCAGAATACCAAAGGCATTGTGTGTCATCTGGTTTGACCTGTATTACTTTTGCACAAACCGGTAACTCCACGCCCAACAGTTTTAATACTTTGCAACTCTCAAGAGTTTTGTCAGCAAAATGTGTCCCTCTCGCCTTTGGATCAAATGTATAAGGTGTATTTGTGCATGTTGTATGTTTGTTATCATGATCTTTTTGCTGCATGATAAGTCTGTTAAAAGGATCAGATTGGAATCTGTTACACTGTGTCCTGTTTGTTTCTGCTTTCCTCTTTTTTCCCCCTTTTTTTTTACAGCTGGATTCCTAAGAAACAAACACTGTCTGGCAAATAAAGCTGCAGCTGATTGATGATTTTCTGCTGCGTATTCAGGCCACATTCAGGGAGTCAGTGGAAATCGTTGTGCAGCAGCACTTAGATTCTGGTTTCTTTATCTCTGTTTGCCTTTGGGTGTCTGTTGCCCTGCCAAGGCTGACGTTTCACTGGCTCCTCTTTATCGTTTCGCAGTCCACAGCTTTATTTACTTCTTTGAGCGATGCTGCGAGAAGCTAATCAAGTAAATTGGGATATAAAGTCTGGTCCTCAGAGAGGAAAACATGTCAATGTAATGCCTTGTGGCGCACGAGCTGCATGTAATTACAACGCGTATGCTTCGGTTGTTAATAAGTTACTAATAAACGCGTCAACAGTGAACTCACAGTTGTTGAACCAGCGGTGTGTCCACTGAAACTGGACAAAGGGAACGGAGATATATCTGAATGCAACTTTTACGTTTAATTCAATCTTGGCTGTCAAGTCTTGTGTCAACGTCACATGAGGATACTCACCGTCAGGACATAACGTTACCCCAAATATTTACGTTACAAATACCCATAAAGATTGTGCACCTGCTGTTAACTGAACTTTTCCACCGGTTGAGCTATTTAACATTTAACAGTTTATTTACCTTTTGTCTTCACGCAGTCATACAGGTGGAGGAAGGATGGAAGGAAGGAAGGAAAGAAGGAAGCGAGGAGAAGTTACAAAATAAAAATGCTTCTCAGTTTTCCGCGGTCGTCTCGCCTGCTGAGCTGTTGTCAGACTGTTGTTTTTTTTAAAAGTCATTCTCACTCAGAGGACGTCAGGCTGCTCCTGCACCCAGCAGACACTCCCTCTTGCCCACTTGGACGCTACTCGGGTGTCAAGTTACACACAGAGAGACGCGGTTAGACCGGAAGTGGCGTTACTTCAAAAAATAAAAGCACGATATCATTTAACAAGACCGTTGTTGAGAGGACGCTGTCTCCATTGTGTCCCACGGAGTCAGCTCTGTGCAGCGTTTCAATTAACTGAATTCAGTAAACTGAATTGTTTTATTAGGGGACCATAGAACGAGCCCCCAAGAGGAAATGTTTATTTTCTGGCTTAAAATCCAATCTGTAAATTCTCATGAAATTCATACAATATCAACAAATATAAGATTGAAAAGATAGGCCTTTCTGTAATTCTTAGGTACAAAGGTGACATGACTCACCATGATTTAAAAATGAAAGCAGAACCGTAAATATGTTTACGATATGCGCTTTTATTTTGATAATTCGGACCGGAAGTGCTGTCTGAATTCATTGTAGCTTGAAATAAGTACACTGTTCAGTGGACTTGATGAACAGGTTCTCCTGACTGAGAAGAAAAGCTACTTTACAGCAAAGTTGAAAGGACTTGGACGAATGAATATCAGCGCTTTGTGGAGAGCGCTGACTGTTGAGGCTACCTGGAGGCATCCTAACAGCAGGAGGTGCGCATCACCTGTCACACACGAGGCCTAACCTTCATTTGCATGACACCTGGGCCTTTACTGTGTTAAATTTGCGTTGCCTGTGCATTAGGACACGAAACGTCACACACAAGTCACGTGATCGATGCCATAATACTTCCTAGATTTCCCCCTGTGTGTGTGTGTGTGTTGGCCTGTCTAGAATTGTCTTTAATCATAATACATATACAATAGGGTAAACTTGCATTTATGTACCACAGAGCTCCACCTCAACCAACTACACTATTAAATATCCTGCTTACATGTCAGTGTATCAGTGTTAATAAGACAGATAGAAAAATAGATGGATAGATAGTTACTTTATTAATCCTGCAAGGGGACATTTTTTCGCTACAGCAGCAATTATGGTACAGTTAAATAAAATAACAGAGGAAAAATGTTAAATATAAAATGCAAATGTAAAATGCACAATACATACAATGAAATAGAAGAATACAAAATCAACTAACTAAACAGTAGTGCAAAGATTTAACCAAACAACAGAGTAACAGTGTTATAGTTTTGTGATTGATTTGGCCCAAGGTGATTTATTGTACAGTAATAATCAAGCAATATAATAGTATATTATCACTTGTGGGTTTAACATATTTGACACTCGAGGATATCCTTATTATAATTATTGGAGTTAGTACTATTCTTAGTGGTAGCATTGGTGTTATTACTAGTAGGCCTGATAGTAAATAAGGACCTTCAGGTAGGCTTGGAGAGCGGTCCAGCGCCCCCTGGTGGACGTTTCGAGGAACCACTTCACACCCTCCTGTGGCTTTAACCGGACGAGTTGTCATGGCAACTGTACAGCATGTGCTTACAAAAACAAGAGCTTGACCGTTCACCGACAGCTTTCTCGACATCCGACATCTAAACGCTCTACGACGCCATCTTATTCATCCTGCGTCTATCGGTGGAGGAGACCGCGGAGACACACACGTCTCACACACACACACACACACACACACACACACAGAGGGAGCGAAGCCGAAGAGAGTCGACGATGAGCGGAGCCAAAGCCCGCAGCGACGCGCCTGTTGCTGAAAATGTCCCCGGCGGCGGCGGGCACAGCACTGCGGCTCCTCCGTGGGACCGCAAGCCCGGCGGAGGGGTTCTGAAGAGGCTCAAGTCCCGTAGGAGCCAGATGGACAGCAGGCCCGTCACGGAGGAAGACCTGCGGACACAGAGTGGACACATCACGCCGGAGGACGTGTTAGGACTGCGGGTGGCCGCGCGAGGTTTGAGTCTCCCTCTCTCTTACGTCCTGTCCCTGGTTGTGGCTTTAACATGGACACATGATGCTTAATGTGCGTCCTGTGCTGAATCAAGTACTATCTGAACCTAATGTCACCCACACAGAATATAACAAATCTACACATTACATAAAACTGGAGCAAATGACGTCCTGTTGAGCACTGGAGACTTAAAAACTGTTATGTAATTACCTGAGAAAATACATAACTGACATCATAAACAATTATTAGACTTCATTAGACAATCGTCAATAATGGAAAGAACAGTGTTTCTATTTTTCAAGCAGCTCAATGGACACTTGAACTTTAATTGTACTAAGACTATGACATCAAATTCTTTAAAAATGTCAAATGGACTACAGATGACCTCACAGAGGACTACAGTGACATCACAGATCAGGATGAACCTCTGCAGGGCCTGAATTTGACACCAAAGATAATAACAACTTGGTAGATCCTCATTAATGTTGTACAGCCTATATTTACAGCTGTTGAGGCAACATATGATTTTTGCAATGTAAGGACACTGTAGAGGTTCAATTAAAGTGTGAATTCTTAATCAATGTTTTTCACCAAACAAAACCTTTTCAGAACACATAATTCAGTATATTCCTGTTGGTTTCACACAAACGCGCTTATTTTCCTGCATATCTCTGTAATGCCACAGTAGCTCCATAGCAATCATAAAAGCGGTGCCATATCTTATTTTATGGTCAGGGCGCATGGTTATCTGTACGTGTGCAATGTTGCGTGTGTCTACTTTCAAGCAAGACCATGCCACCTGAGTGTTAACAAAGTCAAGCACAGTGTTTTGCATGTTATCTTTGTGCATGTCAAAGCATCCTGTTTGTGCCTTAAGGGTGTACACACATGAACTACGATGGCTTGTAAATCATTTCTATGTTTTTTTTAAACTCCCGAATGCTGTCTATCATTGTTGCAGGGTACCTCTGTAAACCCGAGGACAATATTTATAACATCGATTTTGTGCGCTTTAAGATCAGGGACCTGGAGACAGGCACTGTCCTGTTTGAGATTGCCAAACCCCCAAATACAGGTAATGTGCATCAGCCTCGTCCTTGTACTGTTTCATGTTAGTGTTTTTTTGTTTATTAATGGAGCTGTTGACTGGGAAGTATTTGGTTCCTGAGCACTTAAAAAAATGACCCTGCTGACCACTCTTCTTGTTTTCATCTTAAAATGAATGCGTTTATGCCGATATCCCTTCAGGTTCAGAAACATCCATGGTCCTTTTGATCAAAAGTAGTCCCCGGTGTGACTTATTTCAAATGTCTCCGTCCTATGTTGTGGGTCTCAGAGGACGACGAGGAGAACAGAGAGGCCGATTCCAGCGCAGGTCGATTTGTACGCTACCAGTTCACCCCGGCCTTCCTGAGGCTGAGGACCGTGGGAGCTACGTGAGTGACTCACACATCACCAGCACACACCTAAGAAAAACACACTCACCTGTTCCATCCCCAAACAATGGAAACAGTTGCACACTAGAGCTACAGACACTCATTTAAAGCGGTGCAGTTTGACTTTAATAACATAATAATTACAGAAGAACAGACCTTTTGTTGGAACGTCCCAGTCTCCCTTCTCTCTGTATTGTTCAATCAGGGTGGAATTCACAGTCGGGAACCGGCCTTTGAACAACTTCCGCATGATCGAGAGGCACTACTTCCGCGAACACCTGCTGAAGAGCTTTGACTTTGACTTTGGGTTCTGTATCCCAAACAGCCGTAACACCTGTGAGCACATCTACGAGTTCCCTCAGCTGTCGGAGAGCCTGGGTGAGTCGTCTTTTCCTAACTCATAGACAACATTATTAGTTAAAAACTGTTGTGTTAAAACAAGAATATTGTAGTTCGGAAGGTCACCTTATCCAAATGTTGAATATCTAAGAGAAGACAGAAATTATTTTAATATATTCTGTGTACCATGCAAACACCAAAAGAACAGATCAGCCTTTTTTATTTATGATATTTCCATTAAGGAGATTCGTGACTCCCTACTAGCTATGTGTCACAATGCCGCACTCTAACAAAAGTAAAGCTTAGTTAATAATTGAGCTCATCATTTTGAAGAGGCTGTAGGGGATTGGCACCCAATCTTCAATCTCTTTCGCTTACCATGGGACAATTCTGTTCAACCTAATGCACAGTATTTATGCTTCATGTTCATGTGTAGACACATTCTTGTGAACACAAAAACTCTTCCACACTAAGCTCCCACTCTAGAGTAGATGATCTGATTAGATTCTGAGTTTCATATTAATGAGAAAAAGTGGTCCATCTTAATACAGTACCTACATTGTACATTGAAAGAGCTCTTGGTCGCCTCCAACGTATTTCCATTACATGCTGGCCTTAAAAGAATGCATTCTAAAGCTATACGGTGAGACTTCAGCAGTCTGATCTTAGCAAATCAAGTGGGTGTATTGTTCTCTGTGGTCCATCAAAGTATATTGCCAGGGTTGAGTTCCAGCATCAAACCTACATGCAAGCACCAAGTAATATCCCTCTGCTGCAGGTCAGCAAGGAAACGCTGCCTGGGGGAGCCACACAGAGGGAACTTCATCCTAAAATATCTGACTCCGGAGGATACCCTCTTGATTTGGCAAGCTTAGACCGCTGAAGCCTCACATTGGCTCAGGCTGCACAGAGCAAGGACTGTGGATTTGTCCTCTATTTCTGTCCTCTGTGTGTTTTATAGTGTAGTTACTTTGCAGTGGCCAATTCATCTTTCAATGTGCATTATGTGCATGTTAGTGTTGTATTAACACAGACCTGCATAAATCTGAAACTGTCCTTTAATGCTTTCACATAAAAAAGCTCAAATAATACACTTGTGTTATGTGACAACAACTATGATGCCATTAATATTTTCTGATACATCATTTTCCTAATTAGCTGTTGTGATATTATTGTTGTTATGGAGGGACACCAGTGCCCCAATGTGAAGCAAAGCAAAGCATTTGGATATTTGAATAATAAAACAATCAATGATATTATATTATATTTTATTATATATAATATTATATCATTTCACATTTTTTATACAATCGGTTCTAATTGCTTGGATATGGAACAAACCCTTCATGCATGTGTTGTCTGTTTTTCAGTCCGTCAGATGGTGGAGTGTCCTTATGAGACCCGGTCAGACAGCTTCTATTTCGTTGAGAACAGACTCGTCATGCACAACAAGGCAGACTACGCGTATAACGGAGGACAGTGATGTCTGCCTGCTAGCATGAAGGAAACACACATACACACATAAACTTGTGAATGCACACACATGTATTCACATTTATAGACTCACGTACATATTACATACACACATGCATGCACATGGCTCTACACACACACACACATCGTTCATTCACTCATACATGCACAAGCAGCTACAGACACGGTTGATTTGCCTCTTATATTTGTAAAGATGAATTGACATTTACTGGGATCATTTTCAGGGACTGTTTCTGATATTCCAGGAGGTCACTATCAGTCTCTGCTCCGACATACAAGCAGGAAGCCTCTGTTTGAAGAAGGTTAATGTATCTGTTTTTAATTATGAACAGTTCTGTTTTAAACCAGAAGAGGACTCATCACTCATGTGACGTCTCAAACGGACCAAATGGTTATTAGATAGATAGTTCGGTCCCCTGTTAGCAGTTTTAAAAGTGTCCTAACACTGCCTCAACACACACACACGCTCACACACACACACACACACACACGCACAAACACACACTCAATCCTCAAGTGACACACATAGTGTTTACGCAGTGTTTGTCAGAAGCAGCTGTTCTCAGAGCTACCGCCTCCACAATCCACTCCAGACAATATCGGGGGAGAAAGGACGAAAGCATCCACACAAACACTCCTGTCAAGCACACATGGTCACTCCTACGATTCCCCTCCCCAACTCCCTCTCCTCTCTCGTTTTCACACACACACACACACACACACACACACACACACACAAAAACAGACACATCAACAATATAAAATGTTGATTAACGGTCTCTGAGATCATTGCTTCTCTCTGATTGATAGCAACATGAATCAGGTAACTTTTAGCTGCAATTCAATTGTAACCTCTGACTGCAACCAAACAAAAGACGATTATTATTGCACATTATTAAGAACAGTCAAAAAGGAATTTTCAAGTAAAAAATACTCATAAGTTCTGATATTTATTTATTTATTTATTGGTTTATTTGAACGGGACAGTGCACATTAATAAAAACATTTCTGCAAATGCGCCAGAGTTATGGAGTTATATCACGATGCATGTGTGGTGTTATAAACAAAAAAGAAGAAGTGGAATACTGAATACCAGATATACTGTGAAAAAAAGAAAGGTCTAAAGGTTGGGCATCCTTAAAGTCACATCACATATTCTTTCCCCCCCCCCCCCAAGTTGGAATACGTCTGGAAATTGAGTGGTCTTTCTAGCTCCAGTAAATAGTGCACTTCCTCTTTGTACTTTGTAAACTTTGGTGTTCAGGGTTAAAGGTGGTGTTTGTACAAATATATATATATATATATAGTTTGTAAAAAAAGTGATTCAAGAAAAATAAATGTACATTTTCAGATACAGGATGTTTGATGTGTGTTTCTTTCTGGGGATGAGAAAGGTTGCAGGAAGTTGAGCTGTTTTTTTGGCAGTTTTAGAAGTCCCACAATTGGCCACTAGGAGGAGTTATGTTATAACTAAGTCATGAATTAGCCCACTGCTTTCAGTTTAGTTTCATGTTGGATTGTGGAAAAGATCACAGCAGTAGCTTTCATTATTACATGGGGACATGTCGACATTTGTATCTGCTCAAAACTTTAGATGGGGTCATGATCTAATCCCTTTATATTCCTCTATGGCTGTGGTTTCACTGCAGAGGGGACATAGCACTGATAATATCATTTTAATTCCACATAATGACTCTGTCTACAGGCCACATGTGATGATCTTGAATAGCACGCAATGCATTCTGAAATTTGTTCGGGATTGCTACACTTTGATCCTCCATTTTTGGAGTCTTGTGGGATTTAAACCAAAATCTGAGCTGCTCTCTGTTTATTCTTTCTCAGGCTGTTTCTTCCTATCTCTGTGTTCATCGCTTGATCTCTCTCAGCTTCTCTCAGTTTCCAGCTCCAATGCCCAAAATCTCATGGTCTTTTCTCCCTCGCCTCTCCTTTTCGGTTTCTCTCTCCACACCTATGGCAGCGCTGCTCCCTCCCTCGCTCTCCTGCTCTGTTTTTCCCTTTTCTTTCCTCCTCTCTCACCTGGTAACCAGACCTCTGGAGAGGAGGGTTGAGTTTCCACTTTCCCAGAGAAGAGGACAATCTGAGCCACACAAAGACTCACAATGGACCCCCTCTGCTCTCGCCTCCCTTCGCTCTGTCACTGCACAGCTGCACACACATACACTGAAACATACAACACACATTCACACACACACACACACACACACACACACACACACACACACACACACTCTCCTTGTTATTCCTATTAACCTCCTCATTCTGTTTCTTTTACTTTCCTTTTTGTGACGCTCTCCATCTTTTCTCCAACTAAACCCTTCCCATATTACTCTCCCTTTACATTTTGGTGTTCTCATTCACATTTAGTTGTATGCATTCAAATAGTACCATTACACCCTTAATAAAGCTGAAATGGTCTTAGTTACATTGCTAATTTACTTTAAAATTGATGTTTGGCATCTATCCAAACATTGCTCATTTAGAAAACTGCTAATGGCCTTGTGGGGTCTCCAGTAATCTGTACCAGCGTTGCTTCCGCAGCTGTGGTGAAGCCATGCAAACAGGAAGTGTTCAGAAATGTGATATAATTACATTTGTTTCTTCACAGTAATAACTGATTTAGTTTTGGACCCACAACACTGACATATTATCGCGCATAAGGCAAATGTGTTAGCATGACATTTGTCTAGTTACACATCCAGGCCAGCAGATACGTAGCAACATTAGCAGCCGCGTGGAGTCCTGTTTGTGATAACCAGACGAGTGCAAGTCCAAACTTCACACTTTGTTTTTGCTATATTGGCCCCACTAGTTCACCAACTAGTCATTAACTCTATCTATCTGCCATTGTTCTGCTGGGCAGGTAGCGTACATCAAAGTCTTTCCATTTAGAACAGCTGCCTGCTGCAATGAGAAACAACGCTGGTGAGAGCGGTGAGACTGAATACAGTGAAAACATGTAAAAACCAGAACAATGACCTGAAACGCCCCAAAATGTTCCGTACTACAGAGATGGGTGAAAATGACCCGAGTGTGTTTGGGGCTATGAGCAATCCTTTTCACATTACATATATTACAAAGAGAAGTTTAGTCAGACTAGCTTACTGCCTCAAAGCTAAACTAAACTAATCTCACAAAGTATCATCAGAAGCTTCAAACAGCCTGTAGTTCGACGCTTGCACCCACAAGTTTACTCGACACACACTTTTCCCCAAAACGTGAACTACCCCTTTAAAATATATAAAGAAATAATGGTGTGAAGCTCTAATGTGTCAGTTGCTGATTAGACTACAAAGCAGGGCGCAATTTAACTGTGAGCTCATAAATCAATAATCACAGCCTTCCATCAGGCTGGAGGGCCTGCACACTGCAGCACGCAAGTGAAGCAGCTGTACTGTACTGGGCCACGTGTTGGTATCATACAAACAAGTGTTTACAAAATGTTGAGCATATGCACACGCACACGCACACACACACACACACACACACACACACATACACACACACACATACACAGCAATAAATACACACACTTTGCAACTTCCCAGGGATGATTTGTCAGTTCCCAGGCCTTCGTGGAATACATTTTAGCAGTCAGTCGAGGATCGACTTGTAGGACCGGAAACAACCTGACAGGTGGAATAAACCAACCTCATTCACCCTTTCCCCAACACACACACACACACACACATACACACACAGGCACACACACACACACACACACACACCTATCTTTGTAACTGGATCCCATATTTCCTTTGAATCATACCACATTAAGATTAGGAGTAAGAAGTACTGGTTTATTGAGGGTACCCTGAAACACACACACACACACACACACACACACACACACACACACACACACA